CCATCCCTTCATAATGTTCGGAGCAGAGGCTATGCCGTGTACACGCCAACCGAACTGTACCTGTGCCACTGCACAATGGGAGGGCACAGCCACTATCCTCTGGAGAGGTCCGTTCATTGTTTGTGGTAGGACCAGCCAGATTGCTCTGCAGGGGCTGTAGTGCTTGCGAGTGGTGATCGACATACTGTTCCTGATGGACGAGCCAGACTGCGTGACCCTCATAGGGTCCATGAGTTATCTGCAAAGGTAAAAGCACTAAAATGACCTGGACGATATAAGATATATGCCCGAATATTTGGATACATGCCTGGCACGTGGTTTTGAGGGGCAGGCTGGAATTGTAGTCGCCTACCCATAAATGCCATAGCCAGGACTTCTATGTTCACACCAGGTGCAGCACTGTCGTCCTCTGGGCATACGGCACGGTGCTCTTCTTCTATCCAGCGGACAACGTCTGCGAAATCAGCAACCRAATAAGGGTTACAATTGTAGGCAAGGAGACATGCATTGATGGCATAGTACGCACAGCGGCCTCGCTGTAGCGCTATGACATCGTTGGATTCCGCGGGTTGTGCTGGAGATTCGTTCACAACAGGAGGAGATTCGTTCGATTCTGCAGATTGCRCAGGTGGAGGAGACTCATTGCGGTCTTGACCAATTGGCTCTAGTATGCGCTCCGGAGAGAGACGATCTTCAATCCGGGGCTCCATCAGGTAGCCAGAAGACGGGTCAGTGTCATTTGGGGCAGGGGAAGAAACGGGGCTAGTTGGATGAGAAAGGGGCGGGTCAGGGGGGTGAGAACTGGGTGGGTCAGATGCGGAAAACGGAAGCTGATCAGCTGCACTTGTGCTCAGAGCGGCTGCCAGTCGYGCAAATGCTGCACAAGTAGCTGCACCTCGTGTCTGGTGCACACGGAGGCCTGCAACACTGAAGAAATCATCCCCACATTGCGGGCATCGGACTCGGCGTGTACTATTCCTGGCTACTGTGTATCAAAGGCGACGCTGTCGTTCCGAACGGTTGCGAGCATGTCGGCGGAGCAAATCTCTAGTAGCCGTTGGAGGCGCGGTGATCAAGCCGTTCACGGCTAGACGAGGCTGCTGTCTTGGGGACGGCGGTGGAGACGGAGAATGGACCCGCCGAAGAGGCATCTGCAATGGTTGGTCCAATGTCGTACGCGTCCGCCGACTGGGCCTTTGTCGTAGCTGATCCGACCATGAATGTGATGATGGTGATGATGATGTTGAGGTTGATGACGATGATGCTGGCAGCGACGGCGGCTGCGATAGTGGTGCTGAAG